TACAGTTTTAACATCCTTAACTGGAACGTAACTGACATTAAGTGAATGGACGCCAAAACGAAAAAGCTTCTCACTTGCTACCGCATGCACCATTCCAAAACTGATGTTCATCGTCTCTATGTACCCAGATCTGAAAGAGGCAGAGGATTAGTTCAACTAGAACTGTTTTTACAAAACTACAATTGGCCTTCAAAGATACCTGGAAACTACAGGATGATGATATGTGTCAAAGAACATGAAAGCAGTAAGTGACATTATTCCGTAATAAAGGCAGCCAACAAGTTCAAAATAGAGTTTCAAATGGGTGTAGAAATACAAGTTAAGCACAATACACCGACTAAAGCTGCAAAATACTTAAAAATAAAACAAAAGCAAATTCAGCGGACTATATACAGAAACGATGGCAAGATAAACCGCTTCACGGTCAATACTCTGCCCGTACCAAACAAGCTGATGTAGATAAAACCCGTACCCATCAGTGGCTACGTAGTGTAGGGTTAAAAGCTGAAACCGAAGGTTTTATTCTTGCTGCACTGAACCAATACTTGTTAACTAGAAATTATCAAGCACTCATAATAAATATTGTGTTAGCCCAAAATGCAGATTCTGTGATAAATATCCAGAAACAATTGATCATCTTGTATCAGGTTGTAAGGTATTAGCCCCCACTGAACCCTACATGACAGAGTGGGCCAATATCTGCACTGGAAAATCTGCAACTTCTACGGGAAGGAAACTGAAACAATTTTATGGGACTGCGCAATACATACAGACAGAACAAACAAAGCTAATCGTCCAGACATTGTTATTAGAGACCGCAAACAAAAATTGCCTCCTTATTGATATGGCAGCCCCTGCAGACTGCAATGTATCTTTAAGGATCTTCAAAAAGCTATCAAAATACAAGGACCTTGAAATCGAAATCTCAAATATGTAGCTCATGGGAACATCAACAATCCCTGTTGTAGTTAGAGACCTCGGATTGGTTGGAAAAGATTCCAATAGACTCATTGAAAGGATTCCTGGTAGCCCATTACTTAAAAAATATAAAAAATTGTATTCACAAATACAGCTCACACGGTACGAAGCGATTTATCTATTTTGGGGCATGTGTGTGATCTTATTTTTTTTCTTTGTTTATTTTTTTTCTTTGTTTATTTATATATTTTTTTTTACAAAATGTTCAGGCAAAAATGTCATGAAGCCATTTCTGACCTTAGCTCTCTTGTTGGGACTCGGAAGTATACAACAGAAACCCAAGGTAATAATAATAACAATAAAATTATTAATATTAATAATAATAATAATAATAATAATAATAAATATCCTGATGTGGCTCACATGGCTTTTGTTTGCTCATTGCAGCTCAGTGCTAGGTGATTACAACGAGAACAATCAGAAAATACGTGAACAGAGAAGACACTAAAAAAAAAAGAATGGAAACATTCAAAATGGCTGCGGAAACTTTGGAAACATTGTTAAAAAATTAAACTTGAGCAGGAAGATAAATGGTATAATGTTAAGCTGGAAAGGTTCATTGAACATGAAAAAGTAAAAATGGAACATATTCGCGACCGGATATCATTGTTTTCACAAGACTATGTTTGTTAGTTTATCGACGTCGCTTGTCCGTTTGATACGAGAGTCGTCGAGAAAGGACAGAAAATTGAGAATTATACAAACTTAAAGAACGAAATCAAGAAAATATGGAATTGCGAAAACGTAGAGATTTCGGCTATTGCAATCGCTGCAATAGGAAGAGTGACAGGGAATTTTGCCCATTAGTTGAAAATATTAGAATTACCAGCGACTTTTGTGTTGTAGAAGGTTTGTGCTTTTGCACAAACAATCAGAAAAGTGTTGGATATCTACAGCTATAGGATATAGCTTGATATCCAATAAGCGCAAAACCAGTTAAAACACTCAATAAGCCGTGCAAAATAAATGTCTTGATGCTGTATCAAGAATAATTCGCATGGTTTCTAATCTTAATTGACTGGAGGTGTTAACATATACATCTTTTGTTTTGGCGAATTAAGATGGCCGACAGTAAATATCCTGTTTAGTACCATAGATTTGCTTGTCACTTTTTTGACCTAGAAATCCTTAAAGACATTCTTATTAAATTCTGATGTTCTTGAGTTTCTGTTTCATGAGCAAGCGTAGTGGAGGAGCATCACAGCTGGTTGTCGATAGGTTTATTTTAAGCTTGAAAGATAAGACAGCTAAAGCGACTTGAAAGTCACATACAGATACTTGGGAACGGCCACGGTCGTAGACCGTCTAACCGAACTGGCTGACCCGACTTAAAGGTATTTCTAACAGGGCCCCACTTGCAAGCCTATGAGCTGCTTTTATCAAAACCTATTTTGTATATTTGGCTGTGATGCATGTGCTTGGATGGATGTCATTATGGGTATATTGGGTTTCGTATATTTGTACTCTATCGTCATGGCCGCCAACGTCCGAAGGTGAAACAGAAGAAAAATCGTCATAGTATTGGCGCATTGCTCTCTCTCTTTCTCTCTTCTCCCTTTCTCGCTGTATCTTTCCTTCTCTGCATCTCTCTTTCCCAATAATAATAATAATAATAATAATAATATTAAATGACGGTGTAGCCTTTGTGCATAAATTAAACAACTTTTGGTTCATCGATTATTGATTATAAGAAAAAAAAAAGTAAATAATAAAAATTGTTAAAAGAATGATGGGTCAAGGAATTGAATTTGTATGCATTTAATTTTCACCGATTCAATACCAATTCAGTACGTATTACAATTTGCAGAAAATTTGATAGTATTACTAAAATGTTGCATTAGGTTCGTAAAATCTACATTTTGTTTTGTATGACAGGAATTAGATATTTGTGGGAAATCTTATTTTAATCCAAGTAAAGGCAGTAAAGCCTCTAATACACAATGAGTTACTGGGTGTGAAACAATTGGAAAACAGAAAACATTAAGGAGAGAAAATAACAGAAAAGTAATCAATAGAACAGTAGACAATGATTGATATTGCATTTAAATTTTTGAAGATCAAAGTTGACTTGGAAGTTTGTTGTTGCTATTACGTTTCGGTGCATATCGATCAGTGATTTCATACTTTATTTAATTTATGGGAAGATATTGTTCTTTCTCCGCTGCCCAGATATATCTCGTCTAGTTCTTATTAAGTACTACTCAGTTCTTGCGTACTGAATCCAAGTACACGTTGCCCAGGATCGAACCCGCAATTATAATGTCACCAAATCCACGAACCAACGCTTTAATCCACTAGGATATTGTTATCCGTGGGATAATTCAGAGTGGAACTCGGAGGATTAAACTTAATTTACCTACTGATGAGTGCTATTGTTACTTGTCACGTTTGACTACAATCACGGAAACTTCATATTTTTTTTACAGTAGCTGCTGCTGTTAAAACCTTGTTAACACGTCTCTTTCTTTATTAATGGCTCCCGTTTCTGTCTATATTTCTGAGATGAGGTATTGTAATTATTTACACTATTTACATCGTTCGGACTGTCACCTTTATCTTTATTGCCATATTCACGACGTTTCGGCCATTGTACGCTCCAGCCTTCTTCAGGATCTGCCTATATTTCTGAGATGAGGTATTGTAGCTTTTTACACTATGACATGAGTTGAGTTACTGAAGGGAATTAACTGAAACTGAGATACCCCCCCAACAAAAAGGCATGGCACGTGGAACTAAAACAATCTACCCCCGTGATAAAATTTTTTGTGATAAAAATAAAGGATTCTGTTTGAAATTCCAATGTATATTACCTGAAAAAGGCCTGAGCGTACAACGGCTGAAACGCCGTGAATATGATAATAAAGACGAGGACAATAGTCCAAACGATGTAAATAGTGAAAATAGTTACCATATAGTTCCTCATCGCGGAAATATAGGTAAATCCTGAAGAAAGCCGGAGCGTACAACGCCCAAAAACGTCGTCAATGTGACAATAAAGACGATGAAAATAGTTCAAACGATGTAAATAGTTGCAAAACTTCATATCCGAAATATAAGCAAATCCTGAAGAAGCCTGTAGCGTACAACAGCCGAAACGTCGTGAATATGGAAATAAAAATGAGGATAACATTTCGAACGAGGTAAATAATGTAAATGGCTCCCATATCTTACTTATATCTATGCTAGGCCTACTATGGAGGTTATCATAACCTAGTATATGTACTGATACATTTTCGTCAGTGTCCCTCTCTGTCTAGTATTTTTACTTCATTCCACAGGTGTTGATGACTACTCATGTCCCTCCATACATGATCAGCTATTCCTGGTTTAATTGTTTCAACCGTAATTACGGATTTTCGATGTTCCTCTAGCCTTACTTTTAGGGGGCGGCTAGTTTCACCTTTATATTCTTTACCACAACTGCAAAGCACCGAGTAAACACTGTTCTTGATTATGTTCTCATTTTTCTTAGGCTTGACTCAGCAGAGATTTTTCCGTAGTGTCGAGTTGATTCTGAATATTGTTTTGATGTTCCATGAATCGCAAATCTGAATGTTTTTCCAATAAAGCCCTTGGAGCAAGAAAGGCAGACTTTGGCCGTTTTCTGGTCTTCCTTGGTCGTTCTGTTTGTAAACGCACGGTAGTTATCATCCTGAAAGGTAAATTCGATGCTGATCATTTTCTGTTGATATATGTCTAGTTCGCCATTTATGATTTTTGCAGTGTTATAAGCATCCCTTCCTTTAAATTGTATGGATGCTGGGAATTGAAGTTGAGGTATCCCAGGACATGAGCAGCGGAACGAGAACAATATATTCCTGTAGATTAAATAAAGGGTTAAGTTCAAGATTTCCCGAAGGTTGCCATGGTCAAAAATCATCTGATGAAGGCCGTAGGATATAACGGTCGAAACGTTGTGATAAAAATAACAAAGATGGGGACACTAGTTTGCATGTAAAGGAAGTTAATGCCTCATACAAGATATTCAGGCAGAAATCATAAATTTCTATTTTCATTTACAGGCAAATACGGTGGTCCTGTAAATATTAATGTTGCTTCTATGACAGAGGAACAGAAAAAACAATATTATTTGGGTTGGCAGAATAATCGATTCAACCAATTTGTAAGTGATCTGATTCCTTTGAACAGAAAACTTGATGATGTACGTGAACCAGAGTAAGTGAAAACACTTTTTATGTTGTAATTATTGGAAAGCGACTAAAAGCTAGACTCATAATGGTTGTTAGATTTAGTGTATGAAATGTCTATGCCAATGTAACAGCTACTATGAGACAGAGATAATAAAGAATCCCTCTGTCCCATAATGGATATAACATTTAGTAGACAAAATGTGTATGGAAATGTAACAACTATTATGGGACAGAGATGATAGATAAAAGACTTCATCTGTCCCATAATTGTTGTTAAATTTAGTGTATGAAATTTGTATGACAATGTAACAACTATTATGGGACAGAAATAGTGAATAAAAAACTTCCTCTCTCGCATAATAGCTGTTGCATTAAGGGTATGAAATTTGTAATGTGATGTAACAACTATTATGGGACAATGAATAAAAGACTTCTGTCCCATAATATTTTTTACATTTTTTTATGAAATATGTATACAATATAACAACTGTTATGGGACAGAGATAATAAATAAAAGACTTCATCTGTCTCATAATTGTGGTTATCTTTAATTCATGAAATTTATGCAAAAGAAACAGCCATTATGGGATAGAGGTAATAATTTTTACTAAGCTGTAATTTTCATATTTACTGAATTATAATTTTTGAAAATACTACTAATAGTTGTTACATCTGCACAAACATTTCTTACAGTAAATATACCAAATATTATGAGACATAGGTTGTATTAATTACAGTTCTCTTTGTTAATTATAATTGATATGAATGCTGTGGAGTGCATTGTTTTCTTATGGGTTTTGTCAAGTGTTAATAATAGCTGAGAATCAGTTAATAAAAAATAAAATCAAGTTGATGAATACCATTTTTTATTCCCTCCAAAATCTAGTAACAGCTGTTTTTTTCCAGAATTAAGAACAATAAAAGCAAATTTTTCAAAAGTGTAATTGTTATGTCAAATATATATTATTTACAGAAACGAGTGCAGAAAACACATTTGTAATAAAGTAAATTGATATATATTAAAAAAAATTGGAAAATCATTTTGCATTGTTTTAATAAATTCTGATTTTGTTTCTGTGCAGATGTCGTAATGTGGTTTATAGAGAAATTTTGCCAAGAAGCAGCGTGATTATTTGCTTTCACAACGAAGCTTGGTCGACATTGTTACGGACTGTTCACAGCGTCCTTCGAAACACACCAAGCAAATATTTGGAAGAAATTATCTTGGTAGACGATTTCTCATCATTTCGTAAGTAGACGCCTTCGTTAATTCCTCATATCACATTTAATACCTATGTTGAGGATTTGAATCAACCCACAAGAAAGAAAATGGCATTAAAGTTGTTTAAATATAACATATTTTAATATATATTTTTATTTTCGTGTTTTTTATTTTAATATAAGATATTTTATATATAATTTTCGGGAGGCATTTAAGCTAGCTCCTGTGAAGGGCTCTTGATTGGGCCTTTGGTTTGTTCAGGAGTTTGTGATTCCTTAAGTCTTTGCATATTCTCAGAATTGGAAACTCTTCTGGCTGCTGTTACATCGGGGTTTTCATTTATACGGGACTTCCTTTTCTCTGCTGAAGCTTTGGTTCTTTTGATTGCAATCTGCTCCTCTGTTGGCGAAGATTTTTTTGCGAGGCATATTGCTGCCGTATGCGATAGGCAACAACGAACTGCAGAAGAACTCAAAATTGATGCTGCCACTTAATTTAAAGACAATTTGATGTGCGTAGGTCCTTACTTTCCGCACGAACAATTATGTTTTATTGCATGGGGTATACTCGCTGGATTTCGTAATTAATTTCGAGTATTCCCAAATTTATTTGCAACTTATAAAAATTGTTATCATACAAAAAAATCGTCTCAAAAAATCACGCAAAATAATCGCCAAGAACAATCGCAATAATGAAAATTTGGGAATCCAAAATTTCTGAAACATGAGCTCTTAAAAGTTAGTGAGTTGTGTCCCTTTAATTGAAAAAATGTGAGTGTGACACACTTACTTTGGCCTTTATTATATTCGCCCTTGCATGGAATACTGCTGTCATATATGGTCTGGTGCCCCCGCTGTTCATCTTAGGGTCCTCGACAAAATCCAGAGACGGATATGCAATATGGTTGGCCCTGATCTGGAATCTGGTTTCACAGACGTGCCGTCGCCTCCGACTGTCTTTTCGACAAATACTTTCACGGTAACTGCTCCGACGAGCTATTTTCGCTAGTTCCCAGACTGCATGAGTTTAAACGTTCCACTAGGTCGGCATCGCAGTCGCATCCTTTCACTGTCAAAACGGTTAATTGCAGCCGTCTCTTCTACTTCAATAGCTTCATGTCTCGCACTTCCCGTCTGTGGAACTCCCTTCCTCTTACTTGCTTCTCTGATAGCTATAATCTCCAACTATTCAATTGCTATGTCAGTCGACATCTCCAGATGCCGTCCTTCTCTTCATCTTTTCCTCTTTCGCACCTCTTTATTATTACTCCCACTCCCTGTAACCCATTATATATATATATATATAAGTAAGGATCTGCATCTATGAGGTTCTCAAAACTGATGTCTTTTATTTATTCTATCATTAAAGAAAATAATCTATATTTTCGGCATGTTATGCGTCTTTATTTTAAAATAACTAAAATGAATCGAACATAAAACATTTGTGCAGTCTATGGATAAGTCAGTCAGTCAGTTATTAGGTTGGTGCAAAAATAATGTCGTTTTTGACGTTCAACTTCAAAAGAGAAAACGACATTATTTTTGCACCAACCTAATACTTGCCATGCGTGATACACGCTTAGGCAATCATGAATCTTTTCGATACATGACTGACGCAGTAGGTTGCCATTTCTTTCTGCAGTAGACCAGTTGGCATCCAAAGCTATAGAACCCGGTCGACCCTGCTATTTACCCATAGCCTTGGGGAGAAGAAAAGGATTCATACCTTTCTCAAGGGTATTAGCACATAAGTGAATGTAATGGATTCGAATGGAATTCGAACTCGGTTCTCCGATTCCTCAATCCGAGCCTCTATCCATTACTCTACATAATGGGAATAATCGAACATTTCACACGTGATTTGTGACGCTTTGTGTTGGAATTTCTGGCTGAAAGTAATTCTACTCTTGAGTAAATGAATTGAAAACAGCGATATATCGCTCTAAACGTTATTTTTATTGGATACTCATATTTGAGTAGACGCCCTGTTTATTTATTAAACAGTATATTTTTTTTATTTTCATCTACCGGCCTGAATATTCGAGAGCTTTTATTAAAGAAAATATGCGCTCTCCAGCAGGATTCGAACCTATATCCTTCTGAGCACATGAAATCGTAGTTAGATTCGAGGTACCTTAATCGACTCGGCTGTGTAGCAGCATTGCCAATCAAGCAAAGTTTAAACTGTGCCTTTAAGCGAAATTCTTCATATCTGCTCAGTTTCGTAACCAAACGTAAAGAAAGTATTTTTTCTAAAGTAATGAATTTTTTTTTAATTTTTCAATCCGACATTTTTTTTCATTTTAAATTGAGCGTCTAGTGAAATATGAGAATCCATTAAAAATAACGTTTAATAAAATAATCCATTGCTTTTGAAAATATATATAAACATTTATTATCTACTTGATATTTTTTAGCTCATTTAAAAGAACCACTCGAAAATTATGTGAAAAAGCTCCCCAACGTGCGTATAATCCGAAGTCAGAAGCGAGAAGGTTTAATCCGTGCTCGTTTACTTGGACACAGAGAAGCTAAAGGCGAAGTCCTCACATACCTTGATTCTCACTGCGAATGTACAGAAGGTGAATGAATTGTTTTCTCTCTTGATAAAAAAAAAAAAAAATTTTCAGAACGCTGTCAAAGTACCCCGAAACTTGCAAAAATGTCGTAATGTTTGTTCTTGTAATTATATATATATATATATATATATATATATACAGTATAATTGAAAAGTATTTAATGTATAATAGACTCTCCTGTCTAACTGCAATATTTACAAGACGGAAGAGTCCATCATAGATAAAATAAGGAGTTACTTTTCAATCACACTGTATTTAAAAAACTGGTGCGTCTCTGTCTTTGGACAGAGTGCGCTCAGGGGCGACTCCGTCAAAGGACAGAGTCGCAACTGAGTAAAATTATACTGAGAGGTGTCGGCCCTGGGAAACAGCTGCCCGAGGCCGCGCCTTCTCATTGCACTAGAGAGAAGGATCGGTGCTCGCACCGAGGCCAGCGCAACCGACGGTTAGGGGACTCGGTGAATTTTTGTTCCTTGCCCGGATGCACGCGCTCGGGCTCCCCACATTAAACCGACCTTGTGTCACAACCTGACCTCGTGGGGGGGGGTCAAGTAAATACCGTATTTAAAGAACTGGTTATCGTCTAAAAATAAGGATTCTTTTCAACAATATTATAGATCATAATTTGGTGATTTATTCTGTCTGGTCAGTGACGGACGTAATTTTTTTTTGGGGGTCGGGGCTCGCAACCAACAACAATAGATTCGAAGATCCAAATGCCAGGAAGTAGGTTATGAATAGATTCTGGCGAGATCAACAAGCCCATACAGTTGGGGGTCTGGGCGCTGCAAACCCCCAAGAAAATTTTGAAATTTGACCAATTACAGGGGAATTTAACGGTACTGTCATATGAAATGGGTATTAGAGCAGATTCTAAGACCTATTTTAGCTTTTTCAACTCATTGGCTTATGATCCTACCACTAAAATGGCTTTATTTTGACACATTTAAAAAAAAAAAAAAAAAACATCGATTTTGTTGAAAACTTCACTCATTAAAAAAAGCTGCTTCAGCGGCCCCTGTGAGATTAGGGACCCGGAAGTTTCATAGTAGATCCGACACTGGACCGGGTTGATTCCTTTTTGTTATGATATCTCTGGTGGTTTACACTTCAGTATTTATGTGAATATCACATCTGCAGAGATCAAAGGAAGTTTCCAACGAAATTCTTTAATCACTTTTTATCTCATTGTTACTAAGGTTTTACTGAATATTTTAAGAAACATATTTGCTTTGACAATGTCGTCTAAGAAAGAAATAGTGAGAGTAAATGGCATACGGATTTCAATTCAGTAGAAATAGACAAGAGACGAAAAACGATATTCAATGAAAAAAAAAAATGTTCTATTCGGAAGTACCTTAAAAGTTATGTAACCTGACCTTTCCTTTGAGGACTGGAAAATAGACCAGTTGAGAATTTGAGTTTCTTTTTTTAAAACTAATATCGTATTACAAGTTTATACGTGTCATAAAAATAGTGGAAATATTTAAGTTTTTGATATTTTATAAGCATAATGCAATTAAAAATTACTTTCAGTTATTCTGCGAATAAAATAATTTGTGATCTGAATATAATTTAAGATATTAATACATTATGGCGTTATATTTGTGAAGCTTAAAATAGATAATTCTACTTTTAAAACGTCATCAGAAGAGGCTTTTAACCGTGATAAAAGTGCAGTTCTCTCTTCATTTGAGATGGGAGAAGGCATTCAATCTTGGGTATTCCAACCCTGCAGCAGTACCTTCCTAATTGCAGTAAAAGAGGGTAGGGTCGACGTAATATCAACGCCAGAGTGAGTGTTCACAGGGATTGGGCATTTTTTTCCTTGCCCGATATGCATGCGTATGGGCACGCCACGTAAAAAAAAAAACGACCTTGTGTTACATCCTGCCTTAGTGGGGGAGGTCCGATAAATAGTTTCTCGGCCTTTTGGCCGGGAGGAAAGCGTAGTATCTGTTGTCTCCTTATTTCAGATCGAAGAAGATTCCAAACCTTCGGCAAAACATAACTGAAAAAAAAAAATTAAGAAAAATCGTTATAATGAACATTCTATTTCTCTAATGCTAATTTTTCTGTGTCTCATTACCATATTTAAATTTTATTTTAAAATATTTCTTATGTACAGATCTCACTGATTTATTCACGAATATGATTTTTATTAACTGTTAACAATTTTCAAATTGACCATAACGTTTTTATGTAAAAGAATTGGTATAGTAACGAATTTTCCCTACATTTCTCAGCTATGTTTTGATAATGCTCACGAATAGTAGAGAAACGTCCACAAGAAAGTATAGTTTCAACATCCAATTGATGTTCAGGTATTTTATCTTTACAATACAATTAATGTTATATTTATATTGCTTGTTGCTCTGTGTAATATCTAAACTGTAATGCCAAATAGATTTAAACAAATATTTCATAACATTTTTTTTTATTTTAAGAGACACAAGTAAGTACATTCACCGGGAAGATGGAGTAAATAATTCTTACAGGTCTTTATTTTTCTGTTCGCTTTTATTCAAAGACTGGCTTCGGCCCATGCTTCAACGTATTGCCGAAAATCCAATGGCTGTCGTAACACCGGTCATTGACCGCGTTGACGAAACAACGTTCAAATACTGGACATTCTCTGGTCCAGCGATTAATATTGGTGTCTTTCAGTGGGATCTCACGTTTAATTGGGGACCTGTGCACAGGGAAAGGCGTAAAGCAATTGAATCACCGGTCGATCCGATCAAGTAAGTAACAATTTTCTTGACTATTTATTCCTGTAGGTTCGTGGTGGAGCATAGGGAGATTTGAAACCAGACTAAGTGATGAGACAGCGGTTTCAATGAGGCTCAGTTCCTAGTTTGTCGCCCTTACAAGTCTAAAGGGTTCAAACTGCCATATTATTTACGAATAGTTAGAGGAGAAATGGATTCAAGACTTTCCAAAGCGCATTAATGCGAACTGGCTGCTGATTTTATATTTTGTTATTTTTTTCATTCTGTCCGTATATTCACGTCAATTTTATTACTTAACTAATTACTTATCGTAAATATTATATATGGAATCATCTAAGAAGTAAGACTCGTGATAAACCTTTCCCAAACAGAAACTGTGAAATATCTAATGGAAATGAAATCAATGATGGTACATACCCCGAATCCATCATAAAAATCCAGTATGTGGAAGTAGTAAATATTAAATATGCAGGTGTATGGATCAGTTATAACAAATTTAGTATAGGAGATAAAGTAATTGAATACTGAATAGGCCGCACTAGGAGTAGTTTTCCCAAACTCCACAAGGTGTTCATCACTTATGTGTCATGCGTGATAAATGCTTAAGCGATCATGTATCTTTCGATACATGATTGACGAGGCTACTGCGGGAAAAAAATCTTTCTGCAGTCGACCAGTTGCCATCCAAGGCTATAGAACCCAGTCTATCCTGCTACTTAACCATAGCTGGGGGAAGAAGAAGAGGAGGATTCATACCTTTCCCTAGGGTGTTAGCTTAATGGATTCGACTGGAATTCGAACTCGACTCTCCGAGCCGCTAACCATTACTTCACCGTGCCTCCTTTCACAAGGCGTTACAAAACCTTAAGCTTAAGAACTAACGTCATATCTTTTAATGTCTTTATCTCATCCATACTCTCATATGAATGTCATGCATGACCTACAACTCGATCAGACATGTCTAAACTAACATCTCTATCCATCTGTTTACTCATATTCATAATTAAAAATGAATTCAAGCTAATGAACCATGAATACTTCACTTGAAGACATTTCAACAGCAGCATCAACTAAAAATAGATAGCACATATAACTCAATAAGGAAATAATGATCTAATCAAGATGTTAACTTTCCAGACTACCTTAAACAAAAGGTTAGGAAGGAAACTCCCATCAATACTATAAGGAGCGATAACAGTTAAGGGACTTGAGAAACCTGTTTTTCTGAAAATCTTTTTTTAGGAGAAAGATTTTATAACTTTTAACCAACAATAATACTGACTCTTCGGTCAATGAATACCGAATGTTTCCTTGTAGGGAAACGGTTACTCTCACCATTCGGATTGCAATTAGACACGAGAAAGATTTAAGGTAAATAGGACAACAAAGAAATTAATCCAGTTGTAAATAACGGAAATAATTCTTTATCCCAGAAATTCAATCAGAAAGACAGCTTTCTTTGGGGAATTTTAAGGCTTGGAGAATTTAGCACTCGCAAGGCTATATAAAATATGAGAAGAGGAAAGTTCCACGACGCATTTGAGCAAATCTATGGCATTCCATAGATTTGCTCAAACACGTCAAAATAAGAGAAATAAGAGTCGTAAAGAATCACGTATGATTAAGAGCAGCAAAAGACGGAAAACTGTGAAGAAGGACCGAAGGAAAATGGTATATAAAAGAGTTTACATATGATGGGCAAAAGGTGTTTTATACCTCAGGTCTCAACATTCCCAATTTATCAAGCTAACAACTGAGTTATTTTTAAAGACGGTTGAAATAGGTTTTACGTATATTTTTTCTGCTGAAATACGAGTTAAATATCTTCTAATTTAATTTACAGGAGTCCGACAATGGCAGGTGGATTATTTTCTATTCGCAAAGACACATTCTCTAAACTTGGCACATACGACCCGGGATTTGAGACGTGGGGAAGTGAAAACTTGGAAATTTCATTTAAGGTAAAATTCCTCTAGACGAAAAGTGGAAAGACAAATAGAAATTAGAAAAATCACATTAAAAGAGGGGTTTAATGTTTTTTTTACTAATGCTATTAAAACCCGTATAATAAATCTTATAACTCAGATCAGGCCAGCTTTTCGGCTTACGGGCAGATCATTTTTAACAAATAGGTTTTTACGGAGTGGAATTGCTCGGCCCTTTTCTAATCTTTTGCTAGTTTTACTCGTAGGAAGTAGAGAAATTGATTCCACTTCTGTTTTCGAATTCAGAGTCGTCCTTTCAGTAAAATAGAGGCTCTAGTTTGGGACCTTCAACTTATTCAAAGATTGGACGACACGTGATTTGAAACATGTAACAGCCGGAGCTTTAATTTAATTTCCCGCGCTCTTAACTGTAAGGTTAATTAAATACACACACTGATTACACGTTTTGTGCTCATTGATAAATATCTATTACTTGCTACTTGTTACCAACAATAACGCTCTACATGACAAATTGCTTGACGTCAGTAAAAATAGATAACATTGAAATCAGGAATTTTTAATGCGTAAGAAATTTGTGAGAATTTTTAACATGTGAGAAGTTTCTCGGATTTTTTTATGTGCAAGTTTTCACGAACTTTAATGCATGAGAAATTTGTATGATTTGTTAATGTGGGAGATGTTTGGAGGATTTTCTTTAATAAGGAGAATTTTGTACTATTTTTTAAGAATCTTATTACATCGAGTAGTACAAATCGGTCGAGGGATTGAAGTCAAATTAACTTGATCAGCAAATTCATGAACCAATCATTTAATCCACTATGCATTTGTCACGTGGGAAAATTCTAAACCGAGATCTTGAAGCCTTAAACCTAATATTTTTTTTATTAGGCTGCTGTCATTCTTGAACTCCTTAGCCAATTTCTTTTCTCTTTTTCATTGCTGCTGAAGTTTTGCTATAGTTTCTATTTATTAATTAACGACTCCCATACATGATTTATTTCTATGCTATGCCTATTGATGAGCTCCCTGTAGCCTAGCATTTGGACTAATTGCTTCAGATCTTTGATACTTCTGTGTTCTTCTCTGTCTAGAATTTCTACTTCATTCAGACAGAAATTTATTGAATTTTCAGAAAATATTTCTGATGGAAATTTATAAGATTCTTTTAAAATATGTTATGATTTTTAATGCATGAGAGGTTTGTAGAATTTGCAAATACAAATACCCTTTTGTCATAATCTAATCATTTGATCACAAAACATTTACAAAGAAATTCTTCATATCAAACTCCATAAACTGATTTTGTGCAGACAGAAGGAGAACTTTCTTCGTTCTCTGTGTCTCATGGGTGGGCTGTGAGTACATTTTTTCCTTTTTCATACTTACTGGGAACTTATTTACATCGATTTGTTGTTTTAGTAATACATTTATTTTAGACGCGGCTCCTTATTTACCTAGTGCGCCTAGTGAGTATTAAATTCTCCAAACCTTATTTCTTCAATATATATTCCCAAAACTTTAAGTTTCTTTTTCTGATTGATACTACGAGTTTCTTTGTCGTTCCTATACTCCTTAAAATTTCCTCTTTTGTTACATGTTCTATGATATTCTCAAGTCAGTGGAACCTGTTCGGGATTACTCCAAGTCTTTCCTTCTTTTGTAATAAAATTGTCTAGCATTCACAGCCATATAGGAAACATTTACATAGCAATACTTAACTATTTTATTTGTTTTTTAATGCTATTTTTTGATTCTTCAATATTTTCCTCACTTTCAGAAGTATATGGTGTTCCAGTAACTTGGACCGACTTTAAATGTGAATTAAGTTTAAGCGTCTAATGATCTTTTTCTTTTTCTGTCAGATTTAATAACTTAAGTCTTTGGCAATTTCAACCACGGAAAGATTAACAATCAAACAACGTGTTAAAGTTATCGAAGCCTATTACGAAAATGGACGTTCAAATTTATAAATATACGGTCCAATGATTCCGCTAGGAAAAATGCAGACCAAAAAGTGAGCTTTTGTGGAAAGAATGGCTTTTCAACAATCTTCCTTGGATTTTCATCAGCCCAAATACGACAATTCGGTTTATTAACGAATCCACCAAGATGAAAATGGGCTTCATCATCAAAGAGGATTTTTTGCGAAAAATCTTCATCGGCTTATTTTTGCTCGTGCAGCCAATTGACGAATGTGCAGCACTCCAAATGGTCAGCAGGAGGTCAGTTCTTGTGTCAATTGAATTTTGTAAGCGTGTAGAGACAAATCTTTTGTCAAAATTCGTTGTAACGTTGTTGTGGAGAGGTTCAATTCCTGTGCGCGATGACGAATAGAGGTGTCTGGATTTTCGGCCATATTCTCGTGCACTGCAGCAATGTTTTCAGCTGAATGGCTTAAATGAGCTCGTAATATTTTCACATCAGCCACCGACCCAGTTTGTTTGAATTTACGAACAATTTTTTTTCCAATTGCACTCTCGGTTTGTCGATTATGTTGAAGTGCGCGAAATGCATTTCTGTTTGATCGTCCATTTTCGTAATAGGCATCGATAACTTTAATACGTTGTTTGATTGTCAATCTTTCCGTGGCTGAAATTGCCAAAGATTTAAGTTGGTAAATCTGAAAAAAAGAAAAGGAAAAATCATTAGACGCTTAAACTTAATTCCCATTTAAAATCGGTCCAAGTTATTGGAACACCTTATAGATCTTTTGTTATTTATCTGCGCATTTAAATTTTTGTATCATATTTTCTGTTGTCTCTTAAACAACCCAGCTGCCTGGTTTTGAATCAGTAAGTCTTGATAGAAGACACAGAAAGGAAACTACAAGAATTCTCACAGAATGTCGTAAAAGAAAATGAGAAGAAAGAACTTAACATCAATTGTAAGAAAACAGAATCTATGGTTGTCAGCAAAAGAGACAACTGAATATGCGAATTACAAATTGCAGATACCGAAATCAAAACAAATTAAATATCTGGAAATTGTTTAACAGAGAACCGCAATTCGAAGGCGAATTGAGATAACGAAAGATGCCTTCCAAAAGCTAAGTAAAGTATTAAGAAACAGAAACATTTCGTTAGAAACAAAGAAATGAGTACTGGACATTTGTCCTTCTATATGGCAAAGAATGCTGCACAATCTCATCACAGATGAAGAAGAGGCTTGAAGCAACAGAAACATAGTTCTACAGAAGGATGATGAGAATACCATGGACCAAATATGTGAGCAACAACAAAGTTTTAGAGAAAATGAAAACAAAAAAAAATATACTTAACATCAGGAAGAGACAGCTGGAAAAAGAAGGCTTGGAAAATTTGATACTCAGAGGACATATTGAAGGCAAGAGGAACAGAGGAAAACAATGCATAAACGACCTGGTGAGCTTGGGTAAATGGATGGCGGAAGAAGATTTAGGAGAAATAACGAAAGAACAAAAATTACTCGGAGCTACAAAGGACAGGAAATTGTGGAGAACCATGATCGCCAGCGCTTTGAAAGGATGCGGCACATAGAAGGCGTTATTACTTGTTTAATAATAATTATTGATTTATTATATTAATAATGGCAAAATGGTTATAATGCTTAATTATAATATTTAAATATAAGGAAACCTAATTCTACTGTTACGATTCTATTTTTACAAGAATCAGATCCGAGAGAGAATGGGATATTGTTACCCTAGCTGGGCTGATGCTACCAAGTGTTCATTGTTCAAAAGCGATTACACGGCCTTATGGGTGATGAATTATTCTCCACTTTGTAACCATTGTCCCACAGGCGAAATATTGCTAGCCTTTCACTAATCTATCACTATTACTATGACAGATGTTCCAACGAGCAGCATTCCTTAATCCCATCAGCTCAGACTAATAACTAGGACACTCGCACCTTCCCACAAACTACAAGGTTGTTCAGCATAGTTGCAGTATAAACCACACGTTGGTTCTGTAGGTGTTGAAGAAACGCAAATGTTCCTGATCAGGTGTCTGTAACAGGGATTAACTAGACAGTCTAGTGGACGAGTCTACTCGGAAACGAGCAACCGGTTATTATTCTAGTCTGGACACATATCATTAATTATATTTTTTACCTCCACAGATTAAACGTAGTTTTGCAGAAAGAAGAAATAATTGACTTCTTTTTCTGTGATATGTTAAAGGAGAAGGTGTACTCAATGAAATCCACAGATGCAACACACTTGATTGAAAGCATAAAGAGTAAATATACTAAAATTGACGGTAAGGTGCAGTTATTGCATCGAGTTTAAGCAAATCTTGCAAAGCTCATCAACTTATGCATCACAAATGACTGAAATCCTATTGAAGATGATATTTATTAATATTCTAATCTAATAAAATGTTGATAAAAATTTGATTTCTTGAAAATGTGCATTTTTAACTGAGTCCCAAATTTTAGAGACACGCTGTATTTAAGATTTTACACATGTTACCAAGACACAGGTTAGGGCCGAAGAAACGTATTATTATGGATGTTCAATCAATTCTCTTATTACAGGAATACTAATGTAATCATGTAAGATGAAACAATGGCGCGACTGTTAAGCATAATGATAAAGACTTTTTTGTTTCAACAGATCTGGATGTGTGGCGGAACTTTAGAGATCATGCCTTGTTCTCATGTTGGTCACGTATTCCGTGGAAGTAGCCCGTATAGCTGGCCGAAAGGGATGTCTGAACTTAGAACGAACGGCATCCGGTTGGCGGAAGTGTGGTTGGACGAGTACAAAGAGGAATATTACAAACGCCTCGGTTATGTATTGGTACGAAATGTTTAATTATTTTTATCATACTGTCAATATAAGTGAATGATATAAATATAAACATAGAAAAGTGGGCATTGAAGTCAACACCCAGAGGCTACAGTCTGTTTCTTGCTAAACGCGATTGCTACGTCCTGACGATTGCATTTGGCGTGAAAGACGTCACTTCAGGTGTTGATTTCAATGTCTTCTTTTATATTTATATGCGCTCTATCTCTGATATTGAGCACTTTAACGCATAAATACCTTAAAAGTATATTTTATCATAATTGAATGATATATATATATATATATATATATATATATATATATATATAACTGACAAAATTCCGCTAAACTTAGAGTAGAGAAAACAAATTTATTTTATTTAATATATGTGCATTCACACGCGTGCGTACGTAAACACACATTCATTCTCTTTCTCTTTCTCTCTCTCTCTCTACACACACACACACACACACATATATATATATATATATATATATATATATATATATATATATATATATATATATATGGTGTAACAGCCTGCGATAATTATCCATATTAATCTCTGAAAAAACCACTAAACTAATTGAGTTTCTTTTTCAGTTTTTCAAATAATACGTTTAGCCATTTGTCATAAGAATCACTGAAAAGCCCTTTGATTTAATTCAGTTAGAAAGAGAATAGGTTAAAATCTTTTTGTGTCAGACCCACTATGACTTTTCAAGCGAGCAATGGTGGGAGGAAAAGGAATGAATGATCAGGCCTTCAGTAATGGTACCAACATTCATGCTCTGGGCTTCCATCTTCAAAGTCCATTCAAGAATCATCAAGAGAATGGTGAATAAGTTTCAAAAAGAGGGAACAGTAGAGAGGAAACATAGATTAGGGGGTCACAACAGCAAGAGGGATCATCATTTCAACTTAGAGCTAAATACAATCTTATATTGTTCAAACTGGAGTCCAATAGTGTTATAAAAACCTCGGAGAATTCCAGTAAGATATCTTTAATCATTTCTAAGATACAACGATTCAAAGCTTAATCTAACAATTGGACAATTTTGCTGTTACACCGGGTATATATCCTGTGTCGTCACGTTGCTGCTGTACTCTTCTGAAACCTAGTGCATTTGAAAGTCAAAACGATCCGTAAGGTTTTAAGCAGGCCGAGTGGAATTATCTTGTCAGGGATCTTTTATTGTTTCTGTAATGTGCGTTATTGTGTAATAGGTATCGTCACGGGATAAAATATCGGAAAGGTCCCTATCCATTTCATCCCGAAAGCCGAGTAAATGAACGCAATATGAACAAAGCGTAGCTTGATGTGGCTAAAGGCCGAAAGCATGGAGCACCCAGTGAGGATCGAACTCACTATTCAGTCGTAATTTAACAAGAGAAGTTTGCATAATTACATCACGTCACAGAACGCCGTATTTATCTACCAATCATAGTGATAGGATCTGATATATAATTAATTTAATGTGGGGTGTCAGCATAAGTACATATTGGCTAAAATCCAAATTTTCCCTGTTCCTGCGACTACCTTCGACCACCCCTCTTTAGTGCAATGAGGATTGAAATGCCCGGGACAGGGCTTCCTTCATTGCAAAGCCACGAACTGCCAGCAACACGAAAATCTATTAAACTTTTATTCTAGCCTAAAGGTCTGGTAAAAGAATGCTGCGTGTTACATTATTCGAAACTCTCTATCAATGTCATGGCTGAAAAGCATGACTACTTGAACTGCTTTATTATATATATATATTGCATATCATCAGCTAAAAAAACAAAACACTAGACATCGGACAAATCCTTACCAATAACACAGAAATGTTCGATTTACGTAGACTGTACAAATTGACTACAACTACTAGAAGTATTAAAGCATAACAAATAATCAACATCAATAAAATCAAATGTACTAAATATATTTCATAAATAAAAGGAATAAAAAATTTCCATCGCAAAATGGACGTCTCAAAACGCGTGACTTTAAAAATCGATATAACGCGTGAAAATGCGATATTTGAAATTTGAACTCATTGTATAAAAAAATAAAAACTGTTTGATAACGTCTTATAAAAGCCGAATGTGCTCCATTCTATCTATCTATCTATCTATCTATCTATCTATCTATCTATCTGTGTGTGTATGTTTCTAGCGCATATATCTCACTGCCTCAGTTTTTTCCTTCCTGTCTCTCTCTCTCTCTATGTATATATATATATATATATATATATATATATATATATATATGTATATGTATATATATATATAGAGAGAGAGAGAGAAAGAGAGAATCTATCTAGCTTCTACCTCAGTTTTTTCGTATCTATCTCAATTTTTCAGTCCTTTTAGCTATCTATCTCAATCTTTTCGTATATATCTATCTATTTATACTTGTGTGTGTGTTTTGATCCTTTTGTCCGTTCCACTTTGAGGTTTTATAACGTACTAGCTAGAAAACACTGGCTGAATATTGCTTCTTTCAAGAATATTCCAAAAGTTGAATCACAGTGCCATCAAATGCGTATTTTCAATAAAGTTCCCTCTTGGATTATATAAGCATTATTCGTTCGTTCGTTCGTTACGACAGGGATAGAATCGGAGGTATTAATAGTTAATGTACTGTTTTAGTAAGTGAAGATATATTATACATCCCACAATAGTCCAACAACTATAATGATAATATTAATAATGGTAATATTAGTTGGTTTCCTCACAAAGAAACATTCAGCATTTCAGGAAAATAGTTATCTCAAGTGCAGTAACTATTATCGCTCTTCCCAGTGATGATGATGATGATTTTTTTTCCTAAACACTGATTGTGAAAGAATATAAGAAAAAGAAAAATATTAATAGCGAGAAGAATAAAAGAAGAAGAATCATGAAGACAGTAGATAACGATTGACATTGCATTTAAATTTTTGATGACCAAACTTGGATGGAAAGAGAGTTCCACAAGCGAAAAGTACGAGAAAAGAAACTGTTAGCATAAAAAATTAGTTACAACTAAACATTTCCACGGTAAAATGATGAGATTTTGTTGCCAATCTAGTACTGCGCTTAATAAGTGGACAGTGAAGTCAACACCAAAAGACGAACAGTCTGTTTCATGCTAAATGAGATCGTCAGGCCTGACGATTGCGTATAGCATGAAACAGTCTGTCGCCTCTAAGTGTTAACTTCAATGTTTACTTTTATATTTACATACACTCTATCCCTGATACTGAGCACTTTAATCCATAAATGTAACATACCATAAAACCATATTTTATATAAGAGAATTAAAACTAAAAATAAATAAAGTCAACTATGAGTATATAAATTTCTTACATGTTTGTAGCAGCAAATTAATATATATATATATATATATATATATATATATATATAATACTAATAAATTAAGAAATACAGAAGTTGCTTCCCTTGCATGGCAAAAAAATTCATATAGAACAAAAAATGCAATAAAATGAACAGTAAAAATGTTTTGAATTTACAGAAATAGAAATACAAATAACGTACAATTTAAGCACCTGAAGATGGTATATGTATATTATTTAAACAGACCTTTTAAATATATATATTTTAAATAAATATATATATATATATATATATATATATATATATATATATATATATATATATATATATATAAAATTAGGAAAGAAAAAAAAAAAAAAAAAAATCAAAAAATGCAATTATGATGGACAAATAACAAGTCTTATGAAAGTCTTTCATAAGACTTGTTGTTTATATCCATCGTCTTTTGTCAAATTGAACTGAATTGTATTTTAATGAATATTGTCTTGAAAAAGGTTTATTAAACTGAAACGTCAGACGTCGACATTTCATTCATTTTAAACAACATAATTGCATTTAAAGATTTTTGTTTGTTTTTTTTCTTTTTCTTCATTCTGTCGGATCTATATCCATTTACATTTTTTATTATATATATATATATATATATATATATATATATATATATAATTCATCTCTGACTATTATTTCTTTATTATATATTGTTGAAACTTGGCTAATGCATGGAATAATAATGCAACACAAAATCTACTTAGAACAAAATGTATTGAAACAAGAAAGTGTACACAATATTTACATATAGTC